CCACGGGATTCTGTCGCTGTTGTGATCTGTTTCAACAGAGAAAGGGCTGGTACACGGTGTTGATTTGTTATGATTTCACACACATGCACACGTACGCATACTTGCCACCTCACCCCCAGATACCACCAAACAAAGATTTTTTAAAAGCCTGCTCTAAGTGTATGAATTAGTATTAAAATAAAGTTGTTACTTTGTAAAAACAAATTGAGAGTTTTGGTGTTTTTTAAATAAAATCACAAATATTCTCTCACATGTCCATTGGGGGGCGATAATAGATAAGTATGGTTAGAATTGGACATTTAATTTCTCAAATTATGAGAAGACAACTTCTAAGAGTGAAAACTTTTTTATCCCTGATTATAATTTTTGTTATACCTTAAGTATAATGCATATGCATGTAAATATAAACATACACATGTATATATGTATTTATATACTAATAAGCATAAACAAAGCAGGGAAGTAACATGCTGATTTTTACCATGATTAATTGGGAAAGCTGAAGTGTTCAACACTACTGAATATAAATGGACAAAAATGAGAAATGTAACCTCATCACTGCGTGAGAGTGAACATGTGACACTTCATTTGACTTGAGAGGGATCACTTAGGAGAAGGAAATGGCAATCCCCTCCAGTGTTCTTGCCTGGAGAACACATACAGCTTGGTGTGTTGCAGTCCATGGAGTCACAAAGAGTCAGACAGGATTTAAGTGACTCAGCAGCAATAGTGATTAATAAAACTTCAAACCTATCATTCAATTTGTTGAAAAAAAGGAGGGGCTCACTTGGAAATGAGAATATGAACTCTGTTCATATGTGGTATCTATGGACATATGTTCCCAGAATAGTAATTCAATACTTATGGGTAGCTTACTATTAGGATTTTAATTATTGATTCTCTTATCTTTTTGGAGTTATGTTTTTGGTTTGATCTAAGGCAATACTTAGATTGCAATGCAGGAGACCCGGGTTCGATTCCTGGGTTGGGAAGATCTGCTAGAGAAGGGATAGGCTACCCACTCCAGTATTCTTGGGTTTCCCTTGTGGCTCAGCTGATAAAGAATCCGCCAGCAATGTGGGAGACCTGGGTTCAATCCCTGGGTTGGGAAGACCCCCTGGATGAGGGAAACACTAACTCCAGTATTCTGACCTGGAGAATTCCATGGACTGTATAATCCATGGGGTCGGAAAGAGTCGGACAGCAGAATTGGACACAACTGAGCAACTTCCACTTTCTTTCCAAGGAATACTCAACGTGCAAACAGACTAATTCTCTCATATTTTAATATTTAGTTATTTAACTGTTTAAACGTTTACATCCAAATCAGTGTTTCAAAAGTCATTGATAACCTGGCTTTGAAATCAGAGATCCTCAGATCTCTTCATCTTTCTCCCCTTCCCTTCCCTTCAATTGTAACATTTATCAATTTTTTTGACATTTCTCAAGTATTCCTATTAATAAAATGGTACATATTTTTGCATTTGTTATATTAAGTAAGCATGGTTTTATGCTTTTTGCATTTGATTTTTTCGAGTTAAACATTTTATATTTCTTTCCCTACAAAGCTATAATTATTTCTGTTTACACATATGAATTTGAAATAAATTTTTAAAATTCTTTTATGATCTTTAAATTTTGCTGTTAGTGGATCTAAGACCTTAAAATAGTTCTGTTGGTGAATTTAAAGTCAATCAGCAAACATTAGTAATCTCTCAGCTCCAAGCCACAATGTAGGTTCTTGGTTAAAAGCACAAACAAGCAAGAAACCTGGAAATTTTTATTTACTAGCCTATAAATCTAACACTGATATTTATTTAAAAAGGAAAAAACAGCAGTGACTTTATTTCTCTGTATGCAGGTTTCATTTATCAAAACTAGGGGAAGCTCTACCTAACCAGTAAAAATGATGCTGGGAAACATGTCGCAAATACATAGTTGACAACATAAAAAGTACTTATCTACCATTACGAATCAGGCATCTTGTTTGCACAATGATGAGGATCATTCACTTTACAGAGTTTACAGTACATGAAGAAATATGAATAATTAAACAATGGTTTAGAAAAAAAAAGGTTCTAAATGTTAAGATTAAGATCAGCACAGGGAACTATGAAAATATATATTAAATCCTTATAATTTAGCCTGGAGTGGAGAATAGTCACAGAAGTATTTTCTTGCAAATGACATTTCACTGGTGACCTGAAAAATAAAAAAGAGTTGAACAGAAGAGTGAGAAAAGGAACAGTGTTTGTTGAGCTGAGGCAAACATATGATTAGATTAGAGGCAAGAGACAGCATGCCACATCCGAGAAACTGAAACAAGGTTAGTGTGCTTGCATTGTTACCAGCATGGAGGTGGGGGAGGAGTAAAGAGTGGCTGGAGGAGATGGTAAAAGGTTTAAACAATGAAAAGCCACTGAAGGAAATTAGGTGGTGAGTAATGTGGTGGATGTGAGGTTCAGAGAATCTAAACCATGATGACAACATGAAGAATGGACTGTGGTGACAGAAAAGCTAGAGCAATAATCCAAGATGATTGGGTGATTAATAGTGTTTGTGTAGAGACAGACTCCAGAAATAATCGTGTGATAAAATTGACAGGGTTTAAATGAATTTTTGCATATTGACAGTGAAAAGAAGGAAGAAGTCATGGTTGACTCCAAAAGCTCTGGCTTGATCTAGAGTGAGCACATTGCTACCAATCCACTAAGCTAATCTGTTTAAGTTCATTAGTTAAGGGGTCTTGAGATGTACACAGAGATGTCCAATGGGCAATCCTCTATAATAAAGTCTGGGCTAGAAGTATGGGCTTGGGAGTTGTCAATGAATTGGGGAGATTGGGACTAACATAGACACACTTGTTTAGTAGTTCAGTCATGTCTGACTCTTTTGTGACCCCCAAGGACGGTAGCCTGCCAGGCTGCTCCATCCATGAGGTTTCAAAGGCAAGAATACTGGAGTGGGTTTTCTCCAGGGGATCTTCCTGACCCAGGGATCAAACCCGTATGTACTGAAGGCAAATTCTTTACCACAGAGCTACTGGGGAAGCCCCAACATATACACACAGCTACATATAAAATTAGTTGTTTTATATGTATAACTGATAAGAACTTGCTGTATAGCACAAGGAACTCTACTTAATACTCTGTAATGACCTATATGTAAAAAGACTCTTTAAAAAAAGAATGAATATATGTATATGTGCAGCTGCTTTTGAACTGTGGTGTTGGAGAAGACTCTTGAGAGTCCCTTGGACTGCAAAATCAAACCAGTTAATCCTAAAGGAAATCTATCCTGAATATTCATTGGAAGGAATGATGCTAAAGCTGAAACTCGAATACTTTAGCCTCATGATGCAAAGTACTGACTCATTGGAAAAGACCCTGATGCTGGGAAACACTGAAGGCAGGAAGAGAAGGGGATGACAGAAGATGAGAAGGTGGTATGGCATCACTGACTCAATGGACATGAGTTTGAGCAAGCTTTGGGAGTTGGTGATGAAAAGGATAGCCTGGCATGCCGCAGTCCATGGGGTCACAAAGAGTCAGATGCAACTGAGCAACTGAATTGAACTGAACTGATAACTGATTCACTTTGCTGTACGCTTGAAACTAACACAACATTGCAAATTAAATACACTTCAATAAAAATTATTTAAAAATAAAATAAATTGATACCAATTGAAGTTATAGAGTGGATGAGTTCAGCCAATAGTTGTGTGTAATAGAGGACCCACAAGAACTCTGAGGAATATTATTATTTAAGAAACCACTACAATATTGTAAAGTAATTAGCCTCCAACTAATAAAAATAATTGGAAAATAAAAAACTTAATGGATCCAGTTAACTTTTGCATGATGAAAAGTTCTAGAAGTGGATGGTGGTAATGGATGTACACAATGTGAATGTACTTAATGCCATGGAACTGTATGCCTAAAATGGTAAAAATGCTGAACTTTATATGTATTTTACCATTGGTTTTAAACATAAATTTTTAAATTAAAAAAAAGAGAGAGATATCAGACGAGAGAATAGATGTTGCAGAAAACACTGAGGAGGAATAGTTGGAGAGGTAGAGAGAATTTCAAGAAAACTTTGCATCATAGATGCTAAGGTTAGAAAAGATTTTAAAAATGAACACCAGGTCAACAATGAGCAACACTGCTGAGAGATAAAGTGAAAGTAAACAGTCCTGACTGCATTTTGTCAAAAGTGTGGTGAGAACACGTCAGTGCAACAGTAGGAAAAGCAGAAAATACATTTTAGAATGTGGACTGAGAAACAGAAAGAGGAAGGCAAGTATAAAAATTTTTAGGAAATTTGACTTAAAAGGGGTGAGGAAAACTGGGTGGAAATCAAAAGACGCATGTGGTTAATGGACAATTTTCTTGTTGCTTTCATGTTTAATGGCAGATAGGAAGACATAAGAAGAGGGAGGTTAAAGAAGACATAATCAAGGAAGGGATCTCCTTGAAAAAAATTAAGTGGATGCAATCTTGACCATAGAATTGGAAGGCAGCTATGCTCACCACTATACCACCAACGCTTGACCATAGAATTGGAGATCTGATTTAGATAGAAAGAAGTGAGGCTTTTTTTTTTTTTGAAATGGAGATAAAAAAGTGACAGACAAGACACAGACAACTGTGTAGATTCAATGGTAGAAAATTCGAAATGTAACATCCAATGGCTTGTCTTTGAAAAAGTAAAAAGTTTTTCCATTAATGCTGAAGGCAAGGTGTAGGGAGAGGATTCTTGAGGAGACAAAGCAATAGTTTCTGTCTGAAACAGCCAGTATCATTCATGAGAGATGACTATGAAATTGTCGTTTCAGTCCTCAGGTAGAGCCAAGAACTCAAGGCTGATTGCCTTGATGGGTTGTGACCCACATCCACACTATTATCAGCACTATCACAATAATATTTGTTGTAGAAACAAAGTTTTTCCACAAAAATGCATAATTCTTTTAAACAGGAAGAATTATACCTGTGATCAATTCAGAGGTTATTGTCTGTAGATGAAGGAACCACACCTTGACAAATCCAGTAATTCTGAATGAGACACTTTTCAGAAAAAACACCCTTTTTTGTTATTAAAGCACATGCATCATCTTCAACTTCGCCAAGAACTTGAAATCTATAGAGGAAAAGGCAACATGCTAGTGACGCCCATGAAAGTTGGACTCTTTCCCAGACATCTGTTCTCACTCTGCTAAAAGCACAACTCTGTATTCTGGGTTTTCTCTCTTCTTAGGAAAAATGTACTCTCCAATCTGGAGGTTTGAGACATTGCAACATTTAGAGAGCAAATGCACATTAAAAGAAATTTATTTAATGAAGGAATTCCTCCAAATATTTTCCTAACCTAAACAGTCATTTGTAAATATCATTACTATGTGGAATTAAAAAGAAAATTAAAATGTAAGAAACATTGGTTTCCCAATCCGTTCCATCGTGTGAAAACTAACGATTTTAGGAGACTACTAGGATCTGCATGTTTGTTATCACCCCAAAATTCATATGTTAAAATCCTAACCTCAAAATGATATATTAGGGATTAGGATCTTTGAGAGATGCTTAAGTCATGAGGGTGGAACCTTCACGAATGGGATTATTTCCTTACAAAGGAGGTTCTAGAGAGACCTACAGCCCCTTCCACTATGTGAGAACGTGTTGAGAAGGCTCTGGCTGCAAACCAAGAAGAATCCTTTTAACAAAACAGGATCATTCAGGTATTTTTATCTTGGAATTCCATACTCCAGAACTGTGGGAAATAGATTTCTTTTGCTTATAAGCTACCCAGCCTGTGGCATTTTGTTATAGGAGCCAGAATAGAAGGCTGCTGCTGCTGCTAAGTAACTTCAGTCGTGTCCGACTCTGTGCGACCCCATAGATGGCAGCCTAACAGGCTCCTCTGTCCCTGGGATTCTCCAGGCAAGAACACTGTAGTGGGTTGCCATTTCCTTCTCCAATGTGTGAAAGTAAAGTCACTCAATCGTGCCCGACTCTTCGCAACCCCATGGACTGCAGCCTACCAGGCTCCTCTGTCCATGGGATTTTCCAGGCAAGAGTACTGGAGTGGGTTGCCATTGCCTTCTCCACCAGAATAGAATAAGACCTTTCCAAAATATTTTTTCACTGTTTGTAATGAGCCTCTTTGCTTCTACAAAAGATCAACTCCCTTTTAAAATTTATAAACTCATATAGACAGCTCTACAAGAAAATTTCTGTGCATGTGGGTATATAAGGATACACCCAGATTCTTCATCCTTAACATAAAAGATGGAAACTTCCCCTAAATTCTGTTTTTCCATGATGTTCAAACCAACTTTTCCTGTCTTAAACAAATAAGCTGCAAAATATCTTAGAAATCAGAAAATACTCAATCAGATTAGAAAATTAATAATTCTAAGCAGGTTTGCCTGTGGGTGGCAGAGCATCACATTCTATAGGGAAAACATAATGTTAAAAGGAGTGGATATATGTATAACTGATTCACTTTGCTGTACATCTGAGGCCAATAGGACATGTTAAATCAACTGTACTCCAACAAAACTTCAAAATAAAATATTTAAAAAATAAAAAAGGATCATGCTGAATTTCTAGAAAAGGTATGCTGGGAGATATCCACTAAAAGTAATCAAAGATAAATTTTTTAAGTTAATTTAGTGTGGAGGGTGTATAGAGATTGTGGCATATGTGCGTACAGAGGATGAATTTTAACAAAAGATATTGTAAATAGTCTCTGGGTAAGAATATTCATTTGTTGGGTGACTTCCTTCTTTTGAGCAATTTTTACTTCCCCTCAGCCAGCCTGACAAGTCTGCTGTATCACTCTTGAACATCTCTATTTTCTTTCTTCACTTCCTCCACATCACATCTCTTTAAGAGATACCACAACATTTCAAATTTTCAAGAAGTTAAATCAACTTTTAATGATCCCCCAAGCCTTGATACTGAGAGTAGACTGGACTCACCAAACCTTCTGCCTGTGTTTTGAGGATTAACACAGAATCCCCAAAGATTCAGTACTCTCTACCCATAGAATTTAAACACAAATGAATGAGGTACATAAAATATAGATATTGTTTATTGGGATATTAGAATTTGATGAGTCAAATGGCTATTTGTTGTGTTACATATAACTTTCTCCTTAATATTTCCCAGTTATTGGGGTGGGGGAAGCTACCTTTGTGAAGGCTCCACCCTCATGATTTAAGCATCTTTCAAAGGTCCTATTTCTTAATACATCATGGTGTATTAATAAATCGTGGTTAGGATTTTAATACATGAATTTTTGGGTGATACAAACATGCAGATCATAGCAGTCTTCCAAGATCTTTATTTTGCATATGAGAGAGGGGATATATGTATACATATGACCATTTCATGCTGTACTAAGGCAAACTAATGCAACATTGTAAAGCAGTTATATTCCAATTTAAAAAAATAAGAATTATTCTATAAACTTCTTTTCTTAAGAAACACGCAAAAAGAATTTAAATTTAGAGAATTTTGCACTGATTATGATTTTCCATTTATACCTCTAGCATTAGCTGTAAGCTAAAAGAAAGCCAAATATGAAAATAAATTAGCTTAGGAGTCTGTTTCTCTAAGGCAAATTTCCTGATCATTTAGACACTAATAAAGATTAAAGTCTTCAATCTGTAGGAACCAGTTGGCTCCCTTCAGATTCAGGCAGCCCCCAGTAGGGATTGGCTGTTGAACTATTAAATTCCCCCTACAGTACTCAAATGCCAGGTGGTGCAGTGTTAAATAATCTGCCTGCCAAGGAAGGAGATGCAAGAGACTCGGTCGGGTTTAATCCCTGGGTCGGGGAGATCCTCTGGAGTAGGAAATGGTAACCCACTCCAGTATTCTTGCCTGGAAAATTCCATGGACAGGGCAGCCTGGTGGGCTACAGTCCATGGGGTCGCAAAGAGTTGGACATACTGGGCACACACACACACTCAAATGCCAAACAGTCACAGTTGTAGATTTAATGGGGTGCCATCCAGCCAGGTCCATGTCTTTTGTGAATTAGAAATGTTCAATCCGATCCAAAAGTAAATTCCATCTTGTATATTGCTCTGTAAGAAATCCTGTGAAAGGGATCCAGAGGAAGTGAACTGTTACACTATTAAAACAGCTTCTTCTGACCTTTGTCCAGACTTTAAAATGTTTTGATATTTATCCTCCTAATCAGGAAAATCTTAAGAAGGTTGAAGAGGTTTTCTACATACTTAAGGTAGGAAATTAATATGGGAAGGTTTCCAAAGTATTCTTGCATATATTGTGTAAAGGCATTTGCTACTTAATGGAATTCATGAGGATGATATAAACAGCAACTGATGAAGGGATGAAAAGAGAATTTGAAGCAAAAACTAGGAATTAATGTCTACCCAAAGGAGAGATAGCTATCCTTTTGCCTACCAATGTGCAGTCTTGAAGAAGACTGATGTTTACGGGGAAAATAAATAATAAGACTAAGGAGCCTCCATGTGTCCTACCCAAGATACCAGGAATATTGTCAGATATGGGTAGTGCCTTTGATGAGTACCTCTGTGGGCTTCCCCAGCGGTTCAGTCACTGAAGAAACTGCCTGTAATGCAGGAGATCCAGGTTTGATCCCTGGGTTGGGAAGATTTCCCTGGAGAAGGAAATGGCAACCCACTCTAGTATTCTTGCCTGGGAAATCTGTGGACAGATGAACCTGGTGGGCCATAGTCCATGGGGTCACAAAGAGTCAGACACCACTGAGCACACAGAAGCTCTTCTCTTAGTTTTAAAAGGGCTTTTTTTTCTTTTCCATGGCAAATGAGCTCTTACCAATTCAGCCTTATCTTTGATCACCAAGAGATGTGATTTCATTGTTGAACAGAATTTTTGGCTATCGATCCATGATTGATAGGTTTTGAAAAAGTTATAGCATTTCCCTTTCTTCTGCACCCAGTCATTAGGGCATAAGTTTTGGCTAGGGTTTCCTAAAACATAAAAAAGGAAGAAATAGACTAGAAAACAAGGTTTGGATATCAAAATCAATTTTGGCACTAATTTTGTAAACAATTTCTTTAAAAAAAATTTTGTCTCACTTTTAAGAGATGAACGCCTCCTCCACTGATAGTCTTTTTTTTCACTGATAGTCTTTAAAGAGATTGCTGTTGTTGTTCAGTTGCTAAGTCCCTTCTGACTCTTTGCAGACAGAGATAAATGCCAGAAATAGTCATTTTTGTTACTCAGTAGCTAAGTGGTAGCTCAGCTGATAAAAAATCCCCCTGCAATGCAGGAGACCCCAGTATGATTCCTGGGTCAGGAAAATCCCCTAAGAAGGGATAGGCTACCCACTCCAGTATTCTTGCCTGAACAATCCCCACGGACTGAAGAGCTTGGTGGGCCACAGTCTATGGGTTCTCAAAGAGTCGGACATGACTGAGTAACTCAGCACACAAGTGGTGTCCAACTCTTTGTGAACCCATGGACTGCAGCCCACCAGTCTTCTCTTTCCTTCCTATTAAGGGCTACAATTAAGTAATTTCCTGAGTTCTTTATTCATATGAATGTATGAAATGTTTTTCTTTATATGACATTTATGACATAAAATTATTAACTTCATGTTCCACATTTCATAAATAAAGGCACTAAAGCTAAGGTTAAGCAAAGAATAAAGAGAGCAACTAAAATAAAGCTTAAGTAACTCACTAAAGGTCATACAGTTTAGAGTTAGATAGGAAATAGAAAAACAGAGAGATTAAATGCCTAGATATCTAAAAGGCACCAGGGGAAAACCACTCTGAAAAACAAAATGTCCTTTTCAGAGCACATTTGATGCAGAATAATATGTTTCAAAGCATACTTTATCAGTAACTTTGTAAAACAAAATGTTTACCATGATCCCAATATCTCTATGCCCCAAGGACCTCCAGACATATCACCATGGAAATGAAAAACTTGAAAAAAAGCATTAAAATAAATCTATACTCAGAAATGAATAAAATCTATACTCAGAAATGAATAAAATCTATACTCAGAAAATAAATCTATATTCAGGTATATATTTCTATATTCAGAAAAATTAATAATATTTGTACTTCAAGCTGAGTCCTTGCATCTGGAAGATCCCCTGGAGAAAGAAATGGCTACCCATTCCAGTATTCTTGCCTGGATTCCATATACAGAAGGGAGCCTGGTGGGCTTCAGTCCACGGGGCTGCAAAGAGCTGGACAAGACTGAGTGAATAATTTTCACTTTTTCATGGGAAGGGGGACACAGGTTTTGAGGCATAAGCCTACTGTGTTGCCCTCTCCACTGGTTGAGAATTAAAGCCACCTTTCTATCTCCTCCAAACTATCCATATTTTTTATTAGGCTTTGGTGGGCAGAGAAAGCCAGGATTTTGGCCAGCAACAGTCCCAACTCAACATCAAGACTATACATATACTTTAGCATAACTCATGGCATTTAACTATGCAAAAGCTTATAGCTTTAGGTGGGTTTTTTACTTAGAAAATTGCCATAACTTATGAGAAAGGTGAATTTTCATATTAAACAATAAACACATAAAGAAAAAATAAGCACTCCACTTTTTCTTTTTCTTTTTCTTTTTTTTTGCAAAAAGGGCAAAGATGATGAACAGGCATTTTACAGAATAAAAGTAGAAATATCTAACATGTACAATTTTGCATTTAATTTCTCTAGTATATAAGAAATGCAACTAAAATCAACTATGTGCACTTTTATCATAGTATATTAGCACATATAATCTGAACTCTCTGTGTTCATGTCGGTGTGTGTGAGACACAGAGAGAGAGAGAGAGACGGTCCAAATCCTGCTCTTTCTTCCTGATATTGACTTTCCTTAGCAGGTTCTTATGGTAACTTGAATGCTGATTCAAGTTCATAGGAGGAGAGGTATGTGAATGTGAGTGAGTGATGTTACTTCTTCAAATTTAAACTGAATTGGCTACTTAGAAAGGTGGCTCAGACAGTAAAGAATCTGCCTGCAATGTAGAAGATGGGGGCTTGATCCTTGGGTTGGGAATACCCCTGAAGAAGAGAATGGCTAATTAGAAATTGAAGGAAATCTTGCCCCAAAAATGCTCAAGATGGAACTCTTTGAGCATCCTAAAACTGTTTTTTGCATATTCAGTTTCTGTTGTTTAGTGGTAAGTCATGAACAACTCTTTTTGATCACATGGACTGTAGCCCACCAGGCTCCTCTGTCCATGGAATTTCCCAGGAAAGAATACTGGAGTGGATTGCCGTTTCTTCCTGCAGGGGATCTTCAGACCTAGGGATCAAATCTGCGTCGTCTGCATTGGCAGGTGAATTCTTTACCACTGAACCACCTGGGAAGTCCGCATATTCAGTTAGTGGAAGCTAATTCTCTAGGAGAAACTTGCATTTCCTGTGTGCCTTGAGATGTAAATGTTCTACCACCTTCCTCAAGAATATTTTATCCAGATCATCTCTAATTCCTGAGACTGAGGGAGGGAAGAAAGGAGGGAGTAAAGAGACTTTTAAAATTTAACTTTTTTCAACTATATTTTAAAAAATAGTGAGTTTTGTACTCTAATACCTGATTCATGACTTTTTTATTGTTTTATTAATTTTTGTTGGTTTGAAATGTATTAGTTTCTGCTGTATAGCAAAGTGAATCGGCTATACATATACACATGTGTGTGTGCTCAGTCTTGTCTGACTCTTTGTGACCCCACAGACTCTAGCCTCCAGACTCCTTTGTTCATGGAATTTTCTAGGCAAGAATACTGGAGCGGGTTGCCATTTCCTACTCCAGGAGATCTTCCCAACCCAGGGATTGAATCCATGTCTTTTGTGCCTCCTGCACTGGCAAATGGATTCTTCACCACTGCAGCAACTGGGAAGTCCATATATACATATATCCCTTCTTTTTTTTGGATTTCTTTACTATATAGGTCACCACAGAGCACTAAATGTGCTATTCAGAAGGTTCTCTTTAGTTATCTATTTTATACAAAGTAGTGTATGATTAAGTTTTTAAATGAAGCTATGAGAAGGAGTTGACAGAGGGTGAGATGGTTAGATGGCATCATTGACATGATGGACATGAGTTTGCGGTATCTCTAGGAGATAGTGAAGGACAGGGAAGCCTAGCTGTGCTGCAGTTCAAGGGCGTCACAAAGAATCAGAAATGACTGAGTTACTGACCAACAGCAACAAATACATAGAAAAGGGCTAAATTCCTTAACTTGTGATTTCTGAACTTCTTTATTTAACAGTAATCTTCTGACTGCCTGATTACCTTCCCTTTGATGCAAAACTCCTATATATCCTAGCTCCCTCATCACCTCCCCAGAGCAGTTCTCTTGGGGTCACTGGAGATGCTGCCTCTCAGGCCGAGTTCCAAAAATCCCCACCAAATGAAACATAACTCTTGACTTTCAGATTGTGAATATTTCTTTAGTTAGCACATGCCATATCAGAAATTTCACATACCACCCTCCCCTCCTAATTCATAGAAGCATGATTGAAACTCAGATTAGGAAGACAGATTAACAGACAGGTCTGCTATTTCCTTATTGGTTAACCTCACGATAAAGCTTCTCCTCTCAAAAGCTGATGTCAAGTATTGAATTTTTACGTGTGTTAGGCAGCAAGCCCTTTGCTCCAAAACAATATCTATTATCATATCATCCTTAACCACACTCGACATCCTGGGCTCACCTTACCTTTCAAGTTTCTAATGCCTCACACAAGAAACTACTCTAGACCTCTGTCAGGAAAAAGTTTCATCAGTTAAACCTCACATGAAAAAGGCATTTGATTATATCTTCACTAACTCTCACACACACATATGCATCTTGTGGGTAGGGAATTTTTCTTAAGTTTTTTGCCATTTCATCATTGAACCAAGTATTTTATATTTGCCTAATAAGCTGGTGATTCATGGGGCCGCAAAGAATCAGACACAACTGAGCGACTGAACTGAACTGAACTGAATAAGTATGTGATGTCAAATTAATAAATTAAAAATTTGAAAAATAGAAAGAGATAGTGATATGTTTGTTGATTACCAAGAGAATTGTAACACTTGAAGTAGCAGCAAGTTGACTACTGAAGACAGTGGTATTTAAGAGTTTTAGCAGCAGCAAGGTAAGTGAGCAGTACAGTAAAGTAGTGAACCTGAACAGATTAACAGGAACCAGAGTTGAAAGTGAGTAATTACAATAAGAAAACCATCTTCAAAATACTGAAAAGGATCTGAATTCATCCGCCTAAAATATTCCATTTTTATATGAGAATTATTTTAAGCTGAAAGACAACTTGAGATTCAAGAGATGCAGGAAGAAGCCTCCTCTGAGCTTTGCTTATCAGACAAAAAGTAAACACATCATGTTAATTCCAGTTCATGTGCCCACTGCATAGGGAGGCCAAGCAAAGCAAAGCATCAGTCTGGAGCAGAGCAAAGTTTATTGAAAGGCCATGCAAGGAAGGGTGGCTCCTGCCCTTAAAAAACCCACAGCTCCCTGAAGGGTTTTGGCAAAGAACTTTTAAAAGCCAGATGAGGAAGGGAGGTTGCAAGGTCTGTGATCAACTCATGCACAGTTCTCAGATGGCTGACGGTGAGGGAACAGGGCAGTGTTCCAAGGGTGAACATCATCAGTTCTTAGGCTCCAGCAGGCCTGGGGCTCTGTACTCAAGGTCATCAAGTAGTTAACATCTTCCATTTGTTGGAGAGGGGGACTTTTTGAACATCTAAAAAACACCTCTGGAAATGTGTATCAAATACTATTAGACCCTTCAGAGAGGAGCTAAAGCAGAGGATTTGGAGAAAGACCTGTCCCACCCAGAAAGGCCCCATGGGGTCCTGCTCAGTTACCTTCTGAGGAGTGAGGCTGCCATGAATCCCCTCTTTAGGGTAAAAACCACTCCCACCAAAGAGACTGATAGGAAACTTACCTTAAGTTCCTTCTCTGGAGGAATTTTATGGCCACGAAGAAAAAAGAAAGACTACTCATGCCTGCTTAAACAGACACTGTCACAAACTTTATTAGTTCCGATGTGTTCTGAAAAACCCACTTGTCTTTCCCCAAAACCATATTGTTTTTCCCATCAGAGTCATTTTTTCTCTCCTTCTTTCCCCAGGTGGCTCAGTAATAAAGAATCCGCTGCCAATACAGAAGATGCGGGTTTGAACCTTGGGATGGGAAGATCCCCTGGAGAAGAAAATGGCAACCTGCTCCAATATTCTTGCCTGAGAAATTCCATGGACAGAGGAGCCTGGCAGGTTACAGTCCATGGGGTCACAAAGAGTTGGACACGACTTAGTGACTAAGCAACAACTCTGTTCCTTATTGAAGCATAGGTATATGAACAATTAACTTTGACCATTTAAGCTAGCCACGTCTTTTGTTAGCTCTCATATGCATACAGATGAACTATTTTCTTTTGTTAACCGGTGTTTTCCTCCTCCAAAACACAATGAAATAAAACCACTTACTTATGAAGTTTGTACTGTTCTGCTGCTTCCTAGGAGAAAGATTCATGCAGCTGTAGTCTTTGGTTCCATTCTCACTACTGAACCTCTCACTGGGGTTGTCACTGCAGGAATATATTCTTAGGTGACTTACTAAAAAATGAAAAAAAGTAGTAACACTAGTTAGATTCCTACAAATATAAGCCTTAGCCTTTTAATTATCCATCAATGTTGTTGTTCAGTTGCCCACTCTTTGCAACCCCATGGACCGCAGCACACCAGGCTTCCCTGTCCCTCACCATCTCCCAAAGTTTGCTCAAGTTCATGTCCATTGCATCGGTTAATATGGAACCTTAAGTAAATTCACAAAATACTGATTGAGAGGACAGCTGTTTATAGCATTTTAGCCTTATAATTTGATAAAGGATGATAAACTTGGAGACTCAGAGAATTTCCACTTAGGAAAACGTAAGTAGAAACAATGTAAAAACAAGTTACCTAAATAATAAAAATTTTAAAAAATAAAATATATTTACATTTGCATCTGTTTGGTATAATAGATTAGAATTCTCTGTGATCTTGAACTAGTGACTTAGTTTCTCTTTTCCTCGAGTTCCTCATATATAAAAAGGGGAGATATTTAATGAACTTAGAGCTGATGGAAGGCTAAAAGTTAGTGAGTATAAGATATTTGTCACAACTCCTAACATATAATAGGACACAGCAAATGGAAACAATAATAGATAGGACTATAGCTCTTGTTGAAGTAGAGCTCATTTTACAATAAATCTTAAATTTAACTCAGCCTTAAGTTTTCAAGCAGCTGATAAATTTTGTCAAAACTTCAAAATATCATCATATGTAAACTCCATAAGTTGTTTTTTTTTTAAGGGCCAAATCGTCTTTCATAAAATTAAGTGCTTTCACCAAAATATAAAACTTCAGTTCATAGAATTGGGAGTGTCAAAACTACATTGTTTACCAACTGATAAATGAAGTATTTCCTTATCGGTAAACAAGGATGTCACCATCATCAATGATAGCAGCCCTCCAAAATGAGCCTGTGAGCTCTAAGGGAACTCAGGAAGGAGAATGCCTACTATCTAACAGCCATCAGATGGTAGCCACTCCCTGTGAGAGTGAGCCCCAAAGAAGCTCAGGATGTGAAAACATAGAACATCAGCCCCAGATAGCTGAGGTGCATATGAAAGGATGATTTCAGTAAGCCCAGACTCTTGCATCTTCCCATACAGAAACAAGTGCCAAATTCCTTAACTTGAGATATCTGACTTTCTTTAATTAACAATAATCTTTTGGTGTTCAGATTACCTGCCCTTTGTTGCAAAATTTCTGTATAACCTAGCTTCTCCTCACCCTCCTCCTAGGTGCAATTTCTCAGAGCTATCTGAATCACGGTCTCCCAGTAGGCAGTCTTCCTTCTGCGCCAAATAAAACTTAATTCCCAACTCTTATTGTGCAAGTTTTTTTCAACAAAGTGCTTTTGACAAAATATAAAACTTCAGCAAATGTGACTGTCAAACCCACAGTTTGCCAATTAATTACAAAATTTCTAGCAGAGTACAAAATCACATTTATTACCTCCTCTACATAGGGGGAAATGATTAATAATTAATGAAATTATCAACTTTGTCATATAATACCAACATAAATAAAACAATATTGAAAGAGAATATTACTTAAATATGAACAATGATTCTGAAAAACTTAGAGAAATGTAAAAAACAACAACTTCAAAGGCCACATGTTAACCTCTATAGTTCAATGTGTAGATTTCATTTACTCACCCCAGACAGTTAGTCCTATCACTGTGGCAATAAGTGTAACCATGGCAACGCTGGTCAGTCTCAGAGCAGTCTGATGCCATTTGGGACATTTGGGGTTATCTATAATGATTAATTTTTCTTTCTGAAACATTTAAGCATTTAAAACAAACTTGAAAATATGTCAAATTGTTGACTTAAAAAAAACACACTACATTAGAGAGTTGCAAGTTAAGGTTCCTTCGAGGCAAAATGAGGACTACAGCCTAGGAGAAAGCATTTCAGATAGCTCTGAAAAGTTGCTCCAAAGAGGCAAGGGGAAGGTCAGTACATAAGTGGTTTTGGTGAAGGTGGAATGCGTGCAATCAAGCACATATTTTTCCTAAAAGATTTCTGCTAGTCTTGTGAACCTTTGTTAGTCACAAAAACACAGTCATCTCACCGTGACAGATTTTTGTGCTTTTCTAGCTATGGAGAGAAACAAGAATTGAGCTCATAAAATTGAATCGTGAAAATATTTAACTATCCAAAGACCTGTCACTCGAGCACAGAGGAGATGTGTGCACCATGCTCTCTACCCTAAACTCCTTTTGGGATGTGTTGAAAAGCAGCAGCTGCAACAACACATGATTTAATCCTTGTGGAGGTGGATGATGACTGCCAACTTGTACTTGACAATACAAATGTCAAACTCTGAGAGTACACGTTGTCTTAATGTGATGGAAAGAAATTTACAATCTCTGTACATATTACATTACCATGAACACATATTTAGTTATCTTTAAAGAATTGGTTTTATCAATTCTAAATAAGAGGTGAATCAGTTGTGTGTGTGTTCCCAGTCATGTTTGACTTTCTGCAACACTATGGACTATAGAACACCAGACTCCTCTGTCCATGGAATTTTCCAGGCAAGAATACTGGAGTGGGTAGCTATTTCTTTTTCCAGGAGATCTTCCTGACCCAGGGATTGAACTCATACCTTCTGCATCTCCTGCCCTGCAGCTGGATTCTTTACTGCTGAGCCATCAGGGAAGTCTAAGACACCAGTATGCTTTATCTAATAATTAAATATTTTTCTATTTTTCTGGTTTTTTTGGTTTTGGTTTTTAAGTATTTATTTCATTGCTTTTTAAATTTTTTCAGCTTGATTAAGATATAATTGACATATCACAAAAAAATAGGATGATTTGATATACACATACATTGAGAAGTGATTGGGGCTTTCCTAGTGGGTCAATGGTAAAGAATCTGCCTACAATGCAGGAGATGTGTGCAGGAGACATGGGTTCAACCATAGTAATGCAGTCCTCATTTCACATAGTTATCATTTTGTGTGTAGATGTGGTGATAACTTTTACGATGCACATTCACTGCTGCTTTCTAGTATATGGTACAGAATTGATATCTATAGTCATCATGTTGTACATTATACCCCCAGAACTATTATCACAAGAACTTATTAGTATCACTAGAATTTTGTAACTATTTCAGCATTTCCCCCATTCTCACTACCAACCACCAAAGTACTCTGTAGAATTCACCAGTTACTAGTGAATGAATGTTATTCTTATATTAACACTTCTGTTCCAAAACTATAATTCACATAATAATCAAATGGGTGGTTATTAGATGATCAACTACTCAAAACATTTCCACTAAAATTTGTCATTTAAGTTTATGTACATCTGGACTGGAAACATATAATATTCAGTGGGATTGACACCCAGGAAGGAAAAATATATCAAAAGACACCCAAATATATCAGATACGTCAAATTGACACCCAAAAGGGAAAATATATCAAAAGTATCAAAAGAATTGAATCATATTAAAAATTACTGTCTAAAGTAGAAACATAAGTAAGATTAAGTACTATAGCCATCTATCTTCCTAAATTTTGTTTGAAATATTATAAAAGTTATATATTTATATTAGTTCATGAAGCAAAACTCAGATGCCAGTCTTTATAACTTTGCTTCAACAAAATAAGCATTATAATACTTTCTTTTTTTTTTAATTTAATTTTATTTTATTTTTTATTATTTTTTTTTCATTTATTTTTATTAGTTGGAGGCTAATTACTTTACATCATTGTAGTGGTTTTTGTCATACATTGAAATGAATTGAACAGCATCGAAACACGTATATTATCTAGGGTGAAACAGATCACCAGCCCAGGTTGGGTGCATGAGACAAGTGCTCGGGCCTGGTGCACTGGGAAGACCCAGAGGGATTGGGTGGAGAGGGAGGTGGGAGGGGGGACCGGGATGGGGAATACATGTAAATCCATGGCTAATTCATTTCAATGTATAATACTTTCTTAATCTTCAACCTAGGTCAAGTCAGATCTGATTCATTACTTTCAATTTAACAATGTTTATAAACATATAATTATATGCCAGAAACTAGACTGAATAGAAGGGTTGCACAAATAGAAAACTGCACAGTCTAATGGGGAGACATGTAAGTAAACAGATTATTTCAGAATAAGATTATGAATTTTCTGAATAATAGATTACAGTTCTAGTTCTTAAAAGTTCTCATTAAAAGTCTGAGATTAAAAGTCCAATAGAAAATTCTAGCTGCGTAATCTGTGGCCTCATGGAAGGTTATGGATTCTTACCTTTGCATGTCCATGAACGTTGGCAATGATAGGGATGTTTCCTTGGCTTCTGCATCATTGATTCCTCTGTGTTTTGCATCTGTCCAAACATCCTATAAACAGAATAATCCATCTTTGAATGAGATGGAAAAAGAGACATCACTTGATCAAAAGCAGTCAGTGCCTACAAGCTGTGGCATTGAAACAAAGCCTAGAGCTGTGAAACCACAAAGTATATGGTTGAAGAGTGAGGGGAACTTCATTATTTAAATAAATGTTTTCTTTCAAGATTGTTTCATATTTACAGAAGAGTTGTGAAGTCACTACAGAGTCACCATATACCCAACACTCCACCTTCTCTATTATTAGCAAGTTGCATTAGTACATTTGTCAGAACTAATGGGTCAATATTAATATACTATTTTCAATTAAAGTCTATACTTTATTCACTTTTTGTCCAGTACCTCTTCCTTAATATTTACCTAAGACCTTTTTTTATTCAAGGATCCATCCCATTCAGGGTACCACAATACATTTAGTTCTGACATCTCCTTAGGATATCTCTAGTGTGATAGTTTCTCACTTTTTTCTTTTTTTTTTTTTTAATTTTGACAGTTTTGAGGAATGTTGATTAGATATTTTCCAAAATGTTCCTAAGCTGAGGTAGTCTGATGTTTTTCTCATCATTATACTAGGCTATATATTTTCGGAGGGCTTCCCTGGTAGCTCAGATGGTAAAGAATCTGCCTGCAATGCAGGAGATCTCTGTTTTGATCCCTGGGTCGGGAAGATCCCCTGGAGAAGGGAATGGTGACCCATTCCAGTATTCTTAGCTGGAGAATCTCATGAACAGGGGAGCCTGGTGGGCTACAGTCCATGAGGTCACAAACAGACATGCCAGAGTGCCTGACACACACAGGTTTTTGGAGGAAGACCACATAGACAAATAGTCATTCTTAGCACATCTGATGAAGGGTACTTTTATAGCATAACTATTGAGGATGACTTTGATCATCTGACTATAATGGTGTTCATCAGGTTTAACTACTGCAAGATTACTCACTTTTCCCCATTTCCACACAAGACTCTTCAGAAGGAAGTCAATATGCTCAGCCAGCGCTTCAGTGGAGATTTATGCTTCACTGTTTTCAGTAGAGAGAATCTACATAAATTATTTAGATTTATTCTGCAGAGGATGTTTGACTAGTGTTCCATTTACTTATTCATTCAGCCATTTAAATCAATGAAAGTCATTCACATTCATTTTATGTTTTGAGGGACAATCTAATGCTATTTTATTTTATTGTTCACATGGTTCAATCTTTGGTCATCAGGAGTTTTTCCGGTTGGCTCCACAAGTTTATGCTGATGGTACCAAATCTAACACATTACAACATGGATTATGCTAATCTCTTCCTTTGCATTTCTACAACCTCCCACTTCAATAGTGAGAATCATGGTTATCAGCATCACCAAAAACTTCCTTAATTTTTCAGTTCTAGTGTCCGTACTTTATCCCTCGCAAGACATTTGGTCCTGTCAAAAGCATCCATTGAGCCATTTGGTCCATGAGTCATTAAATAATACAAACATTAACTTCCCTGAAATGTTTTTTGAGTTATTTTGATTTGTAATTCATTGACAGTTATGGATTTCATGTTTATTCTTTCTTACCATGAAGTTTGGCAGGGTTACTTTTAAATCAATAAGTGGTTGCTCTAAAGTGTATATGGACCTGGTTATTGGTTTTATATTTGCAGCATCTGTTAATAATTTTGTATTTACAGATTTTGTTACCATCTTTGTGACAATGTTATCTGTTGGTGGCCATATGTGAGTGTGAATACCAAGAATCTGGGCGATGATTTTTTCATTGTTTTGCTATTCACCTTTAACACTTCAATAAGCCTCCAAATTGAAGAATGGCGAACTACCATCAGCTGTTGAAATCTGCAGTTCCAACTTTCTGTTGTTCATCTTGTGGTTGCCATTTAGTACTGATGTGTAAATATTCCAAGTTTCTGGTGAAACTCTTGGAACTTTTGATCTTCTTCTGCCTCTGCCTTGCTTCCATAGACTCATACTTTCTAAACATAATCCACTAAGTCATCTAACTTTTCTTCTGCCTTCTCCATAGTGTATTTAAAATTTTCATTTATGTCTTAGGACACAAACAGAATTCCAAACTGCATGGATGAACACTTAGTGTGTTGGCTATTAATAACTATAGTCATATACTCATATGCTCTCCCAAATGAGATTTTTTTTGCCACAGTATTATAAAACAAGCATCCTTTTCCTTATTCATCTGGTAGGAATAGTCAAGTTGTTTTTGTATTTGCAATCTCAGAACCCATCATGCACAGTGATTTATCTCACAATGTTGAGATTTATTTCCTGTGCAAACACAGGTACTTTCTCATATACATATCTGTAAGTGTCTTCTTACTTTTTCATTGTTAGTGTATAATTCAACAACATAGAAAAACCCAGTGCTACTCCATACACAGTGAATAACTGAGTGAACTCTGTTAGGGTCGTCTTGAAGATGTCATCAATGAATAATGTATACTGGCACTGAAATATCAAATATTGTCTTAAGTTGTATTACTATTAATAAGAATTTTTTGTATTTTTTGAGCACTGGAATCATGCATAAAAATCCCCATATCTGGTCACTTTATACTCCTTTGAGATTTTAATTACATGCAATGAAGTTAGGTTTGGAAGTTGGTGTCTGTTTTGAATTCTATTTACTGTCCCCATTAATGAATTTCTGGTCTGAATAACAGGACCTCTTCATCATGATGGATAGATCGAACCCAGTCTCTCACATTGCAGGCAGATTCTTTACCCTCTGAGCCACAAGAGAAGACCAAATGTATAACAAGAGAAATTAAATATGATTTTTGTCTAAAATCAAGAAGACAAGAGGAAAGAAATGAGGAGTTGTATTTGGAAAAAGAATGATCTGATTGTGGACATAAGTTTGAGATGCCTATTAGACATCCAAAAGGAAATGCCTAATGTGCATTTAGATATTTGTACCTGTAACTCAAGAAAAAGAACTATATATGAAGCAGAATGAGCTCACTCAGAGAGTGTACTTACAGTGCTAAGTACTGTCCTTGAGAAACTCCAACATTTAGGGCTAAAACAGAGAGGAAGCCAGTAAGTGAGATTAAGAAAGGGTAGCTGAGGATGTCAGAAAAAAAGAAAGAGATGTGTTCGGAAACACAGGGAAGAAAGTTTTTATTAAGCAAAAGTTGGCAAACTATGTCAAAGGATGCTGAGAGGTCAAGAAATGCAGGGATAGTTAAATGGCCATTATCTTGGCAATGTGGAAGTCCCTAGTGATATTGATCAGAAATTATTTTGTGAAGAGAAGAGAATGGAATGAGTTGAAAAGACAACAGAAAATGAAGAATTTGAGAGTGTGCATTTAGCCAAATCTTTTGACAAATATACTGAGAAGAATGAATGAATAATGGAATAATAGCTGGAGGAGAATATATGATCAAGGGAAATGATTGTACTTTAAATACGGTAGACCTTAGAATATGGGGGGTTTTGTTCCTTTGGGTTGCTTTTTTTTTTTTTTTTGATGCTGGAAATGAATCAGTGAAAAGATAAAAAATCAATACCGCAAAAAAGGGTGGAAGAGAAATAATTGCGAAAGTAATGTTTTCAGAAAAATCAAGAGGAGATGGGTTCTAGAGTACAAGTGGTGGGCTTGGCTTTTTACATGAGCAAAAATATTATTTCCACTGTAACATAATTAAGATTATTCTATGCTTTGAATTCTAGACACCCTTAGTTTAATTTTGGCCAAGAGTTGTGTGCAGATTTCTAAATTATTCTTTTCTACATCAAAGAAAAGCAACTATAGAAGGATAACCACAATCTCTTCCTTTCCTGGCAGCTTACTTCCTCTCAAACAATGCTTATGGCATTTCTCTGAAGTATTTCGAAGACTGTGGTTCACCTAAAATTTTACCAAATATGCTTTCCTAATTTGTTTGAAATGTTACACCAAAAAAATAACAATTTAGATCAGCATGTGTGTTAAGTAGGTATGAATCAGCAAACTAAGTGGTTGAGAGCCAAGTGTATTACCAAAAGAATTGCTATGAAAAAAAGAGAAGGTTCGGAATTAAAGGAAGGATCCTTCAAGACTATTCTTCAAGGGGCTGTAAGGGGTTAAGGGGGAAATAGCAGGCAGAATATGGAAAAGATGTAAAGAAAAAGGATAGTAGCTTCAAAGGAAAGGAAACCATAATATTACAGCAATAGAATTTATGGTGTTAATTTTTAAAAGTAGAGTAAAAGCTAAAGGTTGACCCCAATATCATTCAGATCCCAATATTACTCTTTGCAACCCCAAGAACTATACAGTCCATGGAATTCTCCAGCCAGAATACTGGAGTGGGTAGCTGTTTCCTACTGCAGGGGATCTTCCCAACCCAGGTCACCCACATTGCAAGCAGGTTCTTTACCAGCTGAGCCACCAGGAAGCCCAAGAATACTGGAGTGGGTGACCTATTCCCTCCCCAGCAGATCTTCCTGACCCAGGTATCCACCCAGGGTCTTCTGCATTGTAGATGGATTCATTACCAGCTGAGCTACTAGGGAAGCCCTGAAAGAAAGGAAATAATAATATTATAGCAATAGAATTTATGGTGTTAACTAAAAGAGCAGAGTAAAAAGGTAAAGGTTGACCCCCATATCATTCAGTTACTGTGTGAATTTTTATATCCTTTTACTTACTATATGAATATTAAAGTTATCTTTGTAAATATCAAGGATAACTTTGTTTTAATCTTTGGATTTAGATCATCTAGCAGAATACCTAACAAATGTAGCTTTAAAAAATATACTAATGGAGTTGATGAAGCCAAGGGAATGTAAAGAGCAATTTGTTCTTGTAAGTATACAAATGATTAGAGCTAGGAATGAAAAAGATGAGACAGGTATTCACCTACTGGGAAACAGCAAAAATAAAGATTTTTTATGGCTTATTTAAATGACATTATTAAAGTAATACTGCATACTTACACTATTATGGAGATGCACCATCTCCTTCAACCATTGAAAGCACTCTCTCAGAGCTATTATCCCCATTTTACAGACGAGGAAACCGAGTGGCAGGGAGCATGAGCA